CCCCCCCCGTTTTGCTATGGTTAATTACTCTATATTTCTAGTAAAGGTAGTATAGGTCAACACATCGTTCCATTTCTAGCAGATCAGAAGTGAGCCTGTGTGGTTTCCACGCCTTGCCTGTACAGTGTAGCTTCTTGTTTTTCGTTATGTACAGTGTTGGTCTTTTCACGCTGGATACCTCTCATGTGTTTACACGTAACCAAATAATGTTGTCCAAGTTCAATACTTCAACACAATAAAAAAGATGTCATGCTTTCCTGGTGCACCGTATCAACACGAAAAAGACGTCATGTTTTTCTGGTGCATCGTATCAACACGAAAAAAGATGAAATGTTTTCGTGGTTCACTAAATATCAACACGAAAAAAGATGTCATTTTTTACTAGTTCGGTATGTCAACTGGATAAAAAGACGTCATGTTGCCTCAATTCAATATGCAAACACGTAAAAAATAGTCCATGTTGTCCAAGGTACTCACCGTCCGTATTGGTTAATATAAATGCGCGAAGAAAAGAAATCATATCAAACCTTTTCGATTTCGGTGCGTCTAATTACCCAATACTACCCAATACCACCTAATACTACCCAATACCACCCAATACTACCCCATACGACCCAGTTATGAACCAAATACTTCTTTATTACTATGAAATATCACCTTTGTAGACTTTATTTACTTCCATCTGTCATATTTTATCGGGAAATATGCGATTTGGTGCCGAAAACATCACCGAATTGCCGTGACTATGACCCAATACTACCCAATACTACCCCATACGACCCAATTATGAGCCAAATACTTCTTTATTACTGTGAAATATCACCTTTGTAGACGTTATTTACTTCCATCTGTCATATTTTATCGGGGAATATGCGATTTGGTGCCGAAAACATCACCGAATTGCCGTGACTATGACCCAATACCACCCAATACTACCCCATACGACCCAGTTATGAACCAAATACTTCTTTATTACTGTGAAATATCACATTTCTTGAAGTTATTTACTTCTATACGTCACATCCTATCTGCGATTTGGTGCAGAAAACATCACCGAAATGCCGTGACTAGGGGTTCGACGATTTACAGGAACGGGCAGAAATCATGTTTTAAGGCAGTAAATGTAAAAGAAACCTTTTAACTATTATAGTATTTAATATGTAAGGACAAAATCCAGGAGTTTGTTAGGTAGGGGCTGTCCCAATCACCTGCTCTCTGGATTGGCACATGTGATAGTGTGTTTTAATTTATTAATGTATTATGCATAATAGCTGTTCTTAACAAAATTATGATATTATAAATTATGTAACTATATGTGTTTATACTGTGTAACTATATACTTGTACGATGTAATTGTGATATATGACACTATAATAAATAAAATTGACTTGGCTTGACTTAACTATATATATATATATATATATATTGGATATGCAATGACGACGAAAACGGAGATAAATTTTGAATAGAATTGGCAAATAGAGGATTTCCCCCAAAATTACTTGTAGTCAACTAAATTAGAACAAATGTTTAAATAATTTTATTATGCAATGAACGTTATAAACGTATTGACGTACATGAACATTCTACGGATTTTTTTTTATTTATAACAACTATCGATATAATATGTATAAATATAGATTTGTTCCAATATATACTAAAGATACATGGTCGTGAAAAGTAAATCTACTCTTACTAAATACTCGTCAAATTTATTTAAACAAATTTAAGTCTTTAAAAACATCAAGTTATATGAATGCATAACCACGGACTTTATCTAATTCCGTGTACAATATCTAATTTTAAACATAAACTTAGTCCCGTGCAATTGAATAGATTCTTGATATATGAAATCCATTTAAAATCAGCGAAATCATTTTTATGTAAATTCAGCATAAGCTTGTACATTATACTAGACAATTTATTTTCACCTGTAATTAGTTTATACCAAAACATTATCATTCTAGATTTAATTTCAATATCCAGCGAGTACCTACCCGTTTCACCATATACCATTATATTTGCTGTGGAGCTACGTATGTTTAAAATTCTTTAACAAAACTGTACACGTAATTTCTCAATCATATTGGTATTTTCAAACCCCAAAATTACTTTTTGAAACGTATATAGATATTAAAGCATGAAGGATAAATATATTTTCAGTTGTAGAGTAGCCTTTCCTTAAACCAGCTTGAACATTGGAACAAGAAGTCTATTGTCTACTATTACGGAATTAGATAATCAGTTTTGACCACATCGGCCTTTGAAAAAAAATGAAACTTAAAGCGTTTCACCGTGTTTCTTTCTTCTTTACATATACAATTAATATACAGTATCGTTTTTCTATAACAGATAAGGCCTAACAATCCAACATATGGACTTCAATATTTATTTACGTAAAACACGTATTTCAATTAACTTATATTTACATATAGAATAATATTTAATTTTCAGATTGATGTCCCTTTTTTGAGTTGGAAAATTGCGTATTTTCTTTTTTTTAAGATCGTAGACGTGATGGGATTGTAATCTACACATTAACACCAATTAATTCACTCAAAATATATTCATGCTATTTATTAAGAGTTGAGTATAAGTTATGAAGTTATTAAAATTTAGTTATCATAATGTCATTTCCAATGTTTCAGGTGTTATGACATCGCAATAACAATGTCATATATATAAATGAGAAAATAACTCAGATACATATTTATTATATATGTAATATATAATTCTCTGAACAACCCTTTTTTATAGAATAAAACAGAGACATAAATTGGAACCTCGGCCTGGCAATTTATATATATATATATATATATATATTCCGATCCTGCCCCGTTCCTGTAATTGCAATTCTTTTATCAAATATACCTTATACCAGATAAGGATAATTAAATATATACAATAAATATATATAAATAAGTCCGATCCTGCCCCGTTTCTGTCCGTTCCTGTAAATCGTCGACCGTTCTTGCCCGATCCATATCAATACAATACTTTTTTTTAAATTCTTTGCAATCCTTTTATCAAATGACGTATCTTGTACCCGATAAAAAAGATATAATAATATAAATATAAATATAATTTAGTCCGATTCTGCCCCGAATGGCGATCATGTAATTGCAATCATTTTATCAAATATATCTTATACCCGATAATGATACTTTAATGTATCTAATCAGAGACGTATAAAGCCATAACTGTGTTATATACGTCTCTGATCTAATATATATATTCATTAATGTATAGGCCTATATAAAAATTAATAGATTTCTGCCCGTTCCTGTAAATCGTCGAACCCCTAGTCACGGCATTTCGGTGATGTTTTCTGCACCAAATCGCATATTTCCAGATAGAATGTGACATATAGAAGTAAATAACTGTGACATTTCACAGTAATAAAGAAGTATTTGGTTCATAACTTGGTCGTATGGGGTAGTATTGGGTGGTATTGGGTAGTATTGGGTGGTATGGGCACGGACTTAGATCTAATCTAATTCCGTGGTATGGGGTAGTATTGGGTCATAGTCACGGCAATTCGGTGATGTTTTCGGCACCAAATCGCATATTTCCCGATAAAATATGACAGATGGAAGTAAATAACGTCTACAAAGGTGATATTTCACAGTAATAAAGAAGTATTTGGTTCATAACTGGATCGTATGGGGTAGTATTGGGTAGTATTGGGTGGTATTGGGTAGTATTGGGTAGTATTGGGTAATTAGACGCTCCCTTCGATTTTGCAAAACTACTAATCTATAATTTCCTAATGTCGTTCATCAAAGATAGTATACCTAATCACCGAGTCCAAACAATGAGAGTTTTAGAAATATTTACCAAAAAGTAACTATTAATGTCTTTTTGTCCGTTGATTACAGCACCGATGTCACATGCAATTTCGTCGAACTATCGGCGTCAGAAGTGGAACGTTCAGTGCCAACCAAGGCTGAAATTAATAAAAAATTTGGGGTCAGGGTAAACATAAATATATCAGAATAACAAGATTAGATGACGTCAGGGTAAATATAGACATACCAAAATAGCAGGCTTAATTGACATCAGGGTAAAAATAGACATACCAGAATAACAGGCTTAATTGACATCAGGGTAAAAATAGACATATCAGAATAACAAGCTTAAATGACGTCAGGGTAAAAGTAGACACATCAGAATAGCAAGCTTAAGAGACGTCAGGGTAAAAATAAACATCCGAATAGCAAGCTTAAGTGACATCAGGGTAAAAGTAGACACATCAGAATAGCAAGCTTAAATGACGTCAGGGTAAAAGTAGACACATCAGAATAGCAAGCTTAAGAGACGTCAGGGTAAAAATAAACATCCGAATAGCAAGCTTAAGTTACATTAGTGTAAAAGTAGACACATCAGAATTGCAAGATTAAGTGACGTCAGGGTAAAAGCAGACACATCAGAATAGCAAGCTTAAGTGACGTCAGGGTAAAAATATTCAAATCCGAATAGCAAGATTAAGTGACGTCAGAGTAAAAGCACCCATATCAGAATAGCAAGCTTAAGTTACATTAGGGTAAAAGTAGACATATCAGAATAGCAAGCTAAAGTTACACCAGGGTTAAAATAGATATATCAGAATAATAAGCTTAAGTGACGTCAGGGTAAAAATAGTCACATCAGAATAGCAAGCTTAAGTTACGTCAGGGTAAAAATAAACATCAGAATAGCAATCTTAAATTACATCAGGGCCAAAATAGACACATCAGAATAGCAAGCTTAGTTACGTCAGGGTAAAAATAAACATCAGAATAGCAATCTTAAATTACATCAGGGCCAAAATAGACACATCAGAATAGCAAGCTTAAGTGACGTGAGGGTAAAAATAGACACATCAAAATAGCAAGCTTAAGTTACATCAGGGTTAAAATATATATAGCAGAATAATAAGCTTAAGTGACGTCAGGGTAAAAATAAACATATCATAATAGCAAGCTTAAGTGACGTCAAGATAAAAGCAGACACATCAGAATAGCAAGCTTAAGTGACGTCAGGGTTAAAATAGAAACATCAGAATAGCAGGCTTAAGTGACGTCATGGTAAAAGACATATCAGAGTAATAAGCAAACAATGTTACTGTCATCAATATCTGATATCACAAACTCCCCTTTTTATCCTGCATGACTGGATTTGATTAATATTTTTTGAAGAGCACATACCTTGTGTATTTTTTTTAAACCCAACAAAGATGAAATAAAAAACAAAAATCGAAAAACAGTGTCTGAATATAAAAACCAACGGCATCAGACCAGGGTTTGAACCCTGAACCTCTACTTAGCATACTTCTAACCGACAACGCTACCTGGTCAACGATAGCTCCCTAGCCCTGACGCGCTACAAATAAAATAAAATAATTCAATCAAAGGAGGGGTGCCAATTAGGAAATTCTGATGGCTATCACTGATAAGTTTATATTTTGCAAATACATACCTTGGGATTATGCCTGCATTAAATAAAGGTTAGCTTGGAAACTTTTTCGAGATGTGAGGTGGTGAGGAAAAGAACCAAAATCTAAAATAGCTTCTTTTTTATAAAACCGCATGTTTTTCTTTATTCTTTTGACATAATTAATCACTTCTGACTTTTACTTATATACATTAAAATCATTGTTTGTGGTCACCTTGCTCGGTTGTTGTTGATTCGTCATGATCGTGTCGGATACAATGTGTCCTCGATCTGCAGAAATAACACAGTGCAGCAACACACGCGCCGACTACCAGTGCTGACACTGGTACACCAATGATCCACCCGGTCCTAAACAAAAAATCTCACCTGTTTACTATAACATCTCCAGCTCACATGCAGGCATACACACAAAGTGAGATATTAGCCAGATGGCATAGGACCAGTAGTTAGCGCCTGATAAGGCAGCTCCTGCGAATTCCTCAAAATTGTATATGCTTATAGTATTAATTGTACATATATGTACTGTAAAGCGCTTTAGAGTGGCTTATGTTAGCTAGATAGGGCGTATTAAAAATCTTGATATATGTAGAGATATAATTCAGATTTACTGATAAAAAAATTGTATCTGCACATAAATAATAAAATGTCAGAATTTGTTTATTGTTTTGCCTCCTTTTTTTCTACGAACCTATTTATAGATTATGTTTTCGTTCTTCTAATAAATAGCAGCTCCTGTAGATTTTTCATTTAAATTCTTAAATATTCCTCGAAATTAAAAACAGAAATCCATCGCAAAATTGGATTTTAGAAATTCCTATAATTATTAATATTATCAATTTCCTGTTAGTTTTTTTTATATAAACGTACCTATCCGATTCCACTTTATTGCAGCATGTCTGTGATTCAGGGCTCCCACAACACCCGTACTCGCAGGAACCGTAGTATCCATACAAAAATAGGGCATCATCATAAAAGTAGCAATGCTCCATAGCAACTGAAATGATTCAGAGTCGTAAACCTATTCTTGAAAGAGCACGCTATTTAATCGCACATACGACATTGTTTTATACATGTTATATCGTTTTTTTATTCAGCAATTAGTCGTGTTACATTTTCAAACAAAATTGCAACAATAACAATATCACACTGTATTCGTTCTACTATCCTTGTAACTGTTCACGTCTGCATTTTAGGCTCATTGCAAAGACGTCATGTCAACACCACCCTTTATTTATTCATTTATGTGCACATTGCGATGGTTTTCTGCTTGCTTAATGTATACAAGTGATAGTAAGCCTTTGTTTTTGTTTCACAATTATAACTAATACTATTATCCATATGTTGTAAAGCGATTTAGAGTTATTTTACAAATTATATAGGGCGCTATAAATGTTGTGTATTAATATTATTATTATTATCATAAATGTATTCGTGTTGACATACCTCAAATAAAGTAAACAAAATATACATAGATGACATAAATAAAAGACGTTTTTTGACTTCCTGCCATTAAATTATCCCTAAAACTTTATGTCCTATTATGTTAAGCATGATATATTTTCCAGTTCTTCACCGAGCATGTGCCATTACTTGGGTTTGATCAATATTTAAGTTCCTGGTGTCGACATCGAGGCGGAGACACTTACTCTCACAGGAAACCAGGTTTCATTTACTTTGTACTTTGTTTTATATATTGACCAAGTTACGGAGGATTATTTTGAATTCAAGTTTTGATTACACTGAAGTATTATTTTTCTTCATAACCTAGATTTGTCACTACAAGTGTACCTTACAATTAATGTTATGGTTCCTCTTGGCAATCAACCATATATAAATCAATTGTATTTCCTTTTATTTGAATCGGTACAGACACATGCTCATAATAACAACACAAACAGTAGTTTAGTGTAAACGTATAGACGAAAATGATTGGTGGAACGATATGTAACGAAATTGTATCAAGTAACAAGGTATGAATTGTCAACAGTCTATCAACAACAACTGACAAGGTATGAATTGTCAACCGTCTATCAACAACAACTGACAACGTATGGAAGGTCAACAGTCTATCAACAACAACTGACAAGGGATGAATTGTCAACCGTCTATCAACAACAACTGACAACGCATGGAAGGTCAACAGTCTATCAACAACAAGTGACGACGTAGAGAAGGTCAACAGTCCAACAACAACACTGACGACGTATGGAATGTCAACAGCCCATCAACAACAACTGACGCCGTATGAAATGTCAACAGTCCAACAACAACACTGACGATGTATGAATTGTCAACAGTCCAACACCAACACTGACGACGTAGAGAAGGTCAACAGTCCAACAACAACACTGACGATGTATGAATTGTTAACAGTCCAACAACAACACTGACGATGTATGAATTGTTAACAGTCCAACAACAACACTGACGACGTAGGGAAGGTCAACAGTCCAACAACAACACTGACGATGTATGAATTGTTAACAGTCCAACAACAACACTGACGATGTATGAATTGTCAACAGTCCAACACCAGTCCATCAACAACAACTGACGACGTAGGGAATGTCAACAGTCTATCAACAACAACTGATGACGTAGAGAAGGTCAACAGTCTATCATCAACAACTGACCACGTAGGCAATGTCAACAGTCTATCATCAACAACTGACCACGTAGGCAATGTCAACAGTCTATCAACAACAACTGATGACGTAGAGAAGGTCAACAATCTACCAACAACAACTGACGACGTAGGGAAGGTCAACAGTCTATCAACAACAACTGACGACGTAGAGAAGGTCAACAGTATACAACGACAACTAACGACGTATGGATTGTCAACAGTCCATCAACAACAACTGACGACGAAGGGAATGTCAACAGTCCAGCAGCAACAACTGAACAACTGACGACGTAGGGAATGTCAAAAGGCTATCATCAACAACTGACGACGTAGGAAAGGTCAACAGTCTATCAACAACAAGTGACGACGAAGGGAATGTCGACAGTCCAACAACAACGCTGACGACGTATGCAATGTCAACAGCCCATCAAAAACAACTGACGCCGTATGAAATGTCAACAGTCCAACAACAACACCGACGACGTATGGAATGTCAACAGTCCAACAACAACAACAACTGACGACGTAGGGAATGTCAACAGTCCAGCAGCAACAACTGAACAACTGACGACGTAGGGAATGTCAACAGGCTATCATCAACAACTGACGACGTAGGGAATGTCAACAGTCTATCATCAACAACTGACGACGTAGGGAAGGTCAACAGTCTATCATCAACAACTGAACAACTGACGACGTAGGGAAGGTCAACAGTCTAACATCAACAACTGAACAACTGACGACGTAGGGGAGGTCAACAGTCCAACAACAACACTGACGACGTAGAGAAACGTAGGGAAGGTCAACAGTCCAACAACAACACTGACGATGTATGAATTGTTAACAGTCCAACAACAACCCTGACGACGTAGGGAAGGTCAACAGTCCAACAACAACACTGACGATGTATGAATTGTTAACAGTCCAACAACAACACTGACGACGTAGGGAAGGTCAACAGTCTATCAACAACACTGACGACGTATGGAAGGTCAACAATCTATCAACAACACTGACGACGTAGAGAAGGTCAACAGTCTATCAACATCACTGACCACATACGGAAGGTCAACAGTCTATCAACAACACTGACGACGTAGGGAAGTTCAACAGTCCAACAACAACACTGACGACGTAGGGAAGGTCAACAGTCCAACAACAACAACTGACGACGTAGAGAAGGTCAACAGTCCAACAACAACACTGACAACGTAGAGAAGGTCAACAGTCCAACAACAACACTGACGACGTAGGGAAGGTCAACAGTCTATTGTCAACAGTATATCAACAACAACTGACGACGTATGTAGAATGTCAACAGTCTATCATCAACAACTGACGATGTGTGGAAGGTCAACAGTCTATCAACAACAACTGACGATGTGTGGAAGGTCAACAGTCTATCAACAACAACTGACGACGTAGGCAATGTCAAAACAGTCCAACAACAACACTGACGATGTAGAGAAGGTCAACAGTCCAACAACAACAACTGACGACCTAGAGCAGGTCAACAGTCCAACAACAACACTGACAACGTAGAGAAGGTCAACAGTCCAACAACACTGACGATGTATGAATTGTCAACAGCCCAACAACAACACTGACGACGTAGAGAAGGTCAACAGACCAACAACACTGACGATGTATGAATTGTCAACAGCCCAACAACAACACTGACGACGTAGGGAAGGGCAACAGTCCAACAACAACACTGACGACGTAGGGAGGGTCAACCGTTTATCAACAACAACTGACAACATAGGGAGGGTCAACCGTCTATCAACAACTGACGACGTAGGCAATGTCAACAGTATAGTCAACAGTCTATCAACAAAAAATGACGACGAATGGAATGTCAACAGTCCTTCAACAACAACTGACAATATAGGGAGGGTTAACTGTATATCAACAAAAAATGACGACGAATGGAATGTCAACAGTCTTTCAACAACAACTGACAATATAGGGAGGGTTAACTGTATATCAACAACAACTGACGACGTATGGAATGTCAACAGTCCATCAACAACAACTGACGACGTAGGGAAGGTAAAGAGCCTATCAACAACAACTGACGACGTAGGGAAGGTAAAGAGCCTATCAACAACAACTGACGACGTAGGGAAGTTCAATAGTCTATCAACAACAACTGACGACGTAGAGGAGGGCAACAGTATACAACGACAACTAACGACGTATGGATTGTCAAAAGTCTATCAACAGCAACTGACGACGTATGGATTGTCAACAGTCTATCAACAACAACTGATGACTGTCAACAGTCCAACACCAACACTGACGACGTAGGGAAGGTCAACAGTCTATCAACAACAACTGACGATGTGTGGCCGGTCAACAGTCTATCATCAGGGAAGGTCAATAGTCTATCAACAACAACTGACGACGTAGGCAATGTCAAAACAGTCCAACAACAACACTGACGATGTATGAATTGTCAACAGCCCAACAACAACACTGACGACGTAGGGAAGGACAACAGTCCAACAACAACACTGACGACGTAGGGAAGGACAAAAGTCCAACAACAACACTGACGACGTAGGGAAGGACAAAAGTCCAACAACAACACTGACGACGTAGGGAAGGGCAACAGTCCAACAACAACACTGACGACGTATGGAATGTCAACAGTCCATCAACAACAACTGACGCCGTAGGGAAGGTAAAGAGTCTATCAACAACAACTGACGACGTAGGGAAGGTCAATAGTCTATCAACAACAACTGACGACGTAGAGGAGGTCAACAGTATACAACGACAACTAACGACGTATGGATTGTCAAAAGTCTATCAACAGCAACTGACGACGTATGGATTGTCAACAGTCCATCAACAACAACTGACGACGTAAGGAAGGTCAACAGTCTATCAACAACACTGACGACGTAGGGAAGGTCAACAGTCTATCAACAACAAGTGACGACGAAGGGAATGTCAACAGTCCAACAACAACACTGACGACGTATGGAATGTCAACAGTCCAACAACAACAACAACTGACGACGTACGGAAGGTCAACAGTCCAGCAGCAACAACTGAACAACTGACGACGTAGGGAAGGTCAACAGTCCAACAACAACAACTGACGACGTAGAGAAGGTCAACAGTCCAACAACAACACTGACGACGTAGGGAAGGTCAACAGTCCAACAACACTGACGATGTATGAATTGTTAACAGTCCAACAACAACACTGACGACGTAAAGAAGGGCAACAGTCCAACAACAACACTGACGACGTAGGGAAGGAGAACAGTCCAACAACAACACTGACGACGTAAAGAAGGGCAACAGTCCAACAACAACACTGACGACGTAGGGAGGGACAACCGTCTATCAACAACAACTGACAACGTATGGAAGGTCAACAGACTATCAACAAAAAATGACGACGAATGGAATGTCAACAGTCTTTCAACAACAACTGACATTATAGGGAGGGTTAACTGTATATCAACAACAACTGACGACGTAGGCAATGTCAACTGTCTATCAACAACAACTGACGACATAGGGAGGGACAACAGTCTATCAACAACAACTGATGACGTAGAGAAGGTCAACAGTCTATCAACAAAAAATGACGACGAATGGAATGTCAACAGTCTTTCAACAACAACTGACATTATAGGGAGGGTTAACTGTATATCAACAACAACTGACGACGTATGGAATGTCAACAGTCTATCATCAACAACTGACCACGTATGGATTGTCAACAGTCCATCAACAACAACTGACGACGTATGGAAGGTAAACAGTCTATCAACAACAACTGACAACATAGGGAGGGTCAACCGTCTATCAACAACAACTGACAACATATGGAAGGTAAACAGTCTATCAACAACAACTGACAACATATGGAAGGTCAACAGTCTATCAACAACAACTGACAACATAGGGAGGGTCAACCGTCTATCAACAACTGACGACGTAGGCAATGTCAACAGTATACAACAACTGACGACGTATGGATTGTCAACAGTCTATCAACAACAACTGATGACGTAGAGAAGGTCAACAGTCTATCATCAACAACTGACGACGTAGGCAATGTCAACAGTCTATCATCAACAACTGACGACGTTGGGAAGGTCAACAGTCTATTAACAACAACTGACCACGCAGGGAATGTCAACAGTCTATCACCAACAACTGACGACGTAGGTAATGTAAACAGTCTATAATCAACAACTGACGACGTATGGATTGTCAACAGACCAACAACAACAACTGACGACGTAGGGAAGGTCAACAGTCTATCAACAACAACTGACGACATAGGCAATGTCAACAGTCCAACAACAACAACTGATGACGTAGAGAAGGTCAACAATCTACCAACAACAACTGACGACGTAGGGAATGTTAACAGTCTATCAACAACAACTGACGATGAATTGAAGGTCAACAGTCTTTCAACAACAATTGACAACATAAGGAGGGTCAACCGTCTAACAACAACAACTGACAATGTATGGAATGTCAACAGTCTATCAACAACAACTGACGACGTAGGCAATGTCAACAGTCTATCATCAACAACTGACGACGTATGGATTGTCAACAGTCTATCAACAACAACTGACGATGTGTGGCCGGTCAACAGTCTATCATCAACAACTGACCACGTAGGCAATGTCAACAGTCTATCAACAACAACTGACGACGTATGGAATGTCAACAGTCTATCAACAACAACAACTGATGACCTAGAGAAGGTCAACAATCTATCAACAATAATTGACGACGTAGGGAATGTCAACAGTCTATCGACAACAACTGACGACGTATGGAATGTCAACAGTCTATCAACAACAACAACTGACGACGTATGGATTGACAACAGTCTATCAACAACAACAACTGACGACGTAGCCAATGTCGACAGTTTATCATCAACAACTGACGACGTAGGCAATTGTCAACAGTCTATAAACAACAACTGACGGCGTAGGAAATGTCAACAGTTTATCAACAACAACTGACGACGCAAGGAATGTCAACAGTCTATCAACAACAACTGACGACGTAGGCAATGTCAACAGTCTATCAACAACAATTGACGACGTATGGATTGTCAACAGTCTATCAACAACAACTGATGACGTATTGATTGTCAACAGTCTTTCAACAACAACTGACGACGTAGGCAATGTCAACAGTCTATCATCAACAACTAACGACGTAGGCTATGTCAACAGTCTATCAACAACAACAACTGATGACGTAGAGAAGGTCAACAGTCTATCAACAACAACAACTGACGACGTAGGATCATACATATGATCGTTGTATATTACTACACATCATTAATTCCAACAATATATCAAACTTAACTATGCAGCAATGTTTTTTATTATTTCTTAAATAACAATATCCGACTTGCATTTTTATCAGTAATAACTTTACAAACTGACAACATATGGAAGGTAAACAGTCTATCAACAACAACTGATGACGTTCGTTGAGCAAGATACTTTATTCGGCTTTTTCCAGTCTACTAAGATGTAAATGAGTACGTGGTTGGGCAATGCTCAACATATGGAAGGTAAACAGTCCATAAACAACAATTGACAACATAGGGAGGGTCAACCGTCTATCAACAACAACCACTGACGACGTAGGATCATACATACTGACGATGTATGAATGGTCAACAGTCCAACAACAACAACAACAACAACAACTGATGACGTATTGATTGTCAACAGTCTCTGAAAGAATATGTTAAATATGTTTTACAAGACGGAATCATAATAGTTGGGGTATCAGTAACAAGAATAACGACTTCACATGGACCTTTTTAGGAGGCACGCTAGTCCAGTGGTAGGACGCCGGGCTCGTGACCGAAGGGTTGCGGGTTCGAGTCACGGCTCGGCACTGTGTTGAATCGGTGGGCAAGATACTTTATTCGGCTTGTTCAAGTCTACTAAGCTGTAAATGAGTACGTGGTTGGGCAATGCTAGCTGTTAACGCCGAAATGGCAGCACCGGCTGTATGATCCCCAGGGAGTTGAGAAAAATATTGGCTGGTTGCAAAGGTCCTAAAACCACGAATAATAATTTGGGAACCGCTTTGAGACGATCTACGAACTAGGTTGTGATAAAGCGGTATTATTATTATTATTATTACCAAATAAAAATTCACAAGAACGAATAATCTAAATCATCATAACAATGACAACTTCTCAGCAGCAGTTTTGGGTTACCTTTTAGCTTGGGTGACCTTTGAATATTTGCTGTTTCAGTTAGAATATGTAATTAGAATGTTTAAAATCCTGCCGTTCTAAAGCAGTTTGTTTGTTGGATTTATATTATACAATGTGAATAAGCAATTCTAATTTTATTAAACTGTTTTAAGCTATACACACTTCATTCTTTTCTTGAAAGAGGGCGACGATTTCATTTACAGTAGTAAACTTTCGACCTTACAACGATGCCAATAGTTTTCCTACCGAGGGCCGTGGTATACTTCATAAAATCAGAACATAACGCGTTTCTCGGTAACCTCCTACATGTATATATATATATTAGCGAGAAACTTCTCAGCGTTTTAATTTCAATTTAACAGGAACACAGGAAGGCGTTCTTATATTTTAAAGTGTGATGTATAAATATTTGACATTTTGACATTAAATGTTATTGCTGGTAAGTGCAGCTTGGTTAAGTTTTACATGACGTCATTGTCTTATTTCTACTATATGTATCAATAGATTTAAGTCTACTAGGGTATTTTGAAAGGTAAAGGTGTTAAGACAATACAGTCCAGATTAAAATCGATAGGCCTTAAATTAACATTCCTTTTAAAATCGGCGCAATTTCTTAACACGATATCTCAAACATATAACAATATATTTGTAATAAAGTATGCTTTGTAGTAGGTAGGTCAAATGGCTCCCGTCTGCCTGTCCACACATAACATAAGATTTTACAAATAAAGTAATAATAATAATAATTCAAGATTCTTATATACCGCTTTATCACAACCTAGTTCGTAGGTCGTCTCAAACCGGTTCACAAATTATTATCTGTGGTTACAACTCCCTGGGGAGCATACAGCCGGAGCTGCCATTTCGGCTCTCACAGCTAGCATGATATAATACCTGCCCAACCACGTACTCATTTACAGCTTAGTAGACTGGAACAAGCGGAGTAGAGTATCTTGCTCAAAGATACAACACAGTGCCGTGCCGTGACTCGAACCCACAACCCTTCGGTCACGAGCCCGGCGTCCTACCACTAGACTACCGTGCCTCCTAAAACGACTTAGATACTTGCCTATTTCCAAGGATAGTGTCGCCAACAGCATGAACAGTAGTGTTGTGTACACCATGGTATACAGGTCTCCAGAAACCAACTGTTCATCAACTATTTGTGGTTTTGTGGTAGGTATGTAAACACAATATTAACGCAATAGTGTTTTGTACACCATGGTATACAGGTATCCAGAAACCAACTGTCAATCAACTATTTGTGGTGTTGAGGTAGGTATGTAAACACAATATCAACGCAATGTTGTTGTACCCTGAACAATACGAGACACTATTAGGTGTGCATTAGCATATTACGTAAGCCCAGACGGGGTATTCCCCGAACACCAACTCTGCTTAAAATCACATGTTTACATAGGTGGCCAGTTGTGATGATAGTGAGTTATAGTATATTGCAGAAATGGTGTACAGGTAAATTGCACAGGTAAATCAACTTCTGATAAGTAATCAGATAATCAATAACTACTTTTATTTGCAAAATAATGATAATATTTAGAACAGTTTTCAGAATCAGTCATATATTTATTATGATATATTAGTTAAACTTTTAACGTATGGAAGGTAAACAGTCTATCAACAACAATTGACAACATAGGGAGGGTCAACCGTCTATCAACAACAACTGACAACGTATGGAAGGTCAACAGTCTATCAACAAAAACTGACGACGAATGGAATGTCAACAGTCTATCAACAACAACTGACAACATAGGGAGGGTCAACCGTATATCAACAACTGACGACGTAGGCAATGTCAACAGTATACAACAACAACTGACGACGTATGGATTGTCAACAGTCTATCAACAACAACTGATGACGTAGAGAAGGTCAACAGTCTATCATCAACAACTGACGACGTAGGCAATGTCAACTGTCTATCAACAACAACTGACGACGTTGGGAAGGTCAACAGTCTATTAACAACAACTGACCACGCAGAGAATGTCAACAGTCTATCACCAACAACTGACCACGCAGGGAATGTCAACAGTCTATCATCAATAACTGACGACGTAGGAAAAGTCAACAGTTTATCAACAACAACTGATGACGGAGAGAAGGTCAACAGTCCAACAACAACAACTGAGGACGTAGGGAATGTCAAGAGTCCATCAGCAACAACAACTGATGACGGAGAGAAGGTCAACAATCTAACAACAACAACTGATGACGGAGAGAAGGTCAACAGTCCAACAACAACACTGACGATGTATGAATTGTCAACAGTCCATCAACAACAACTGATGACGGAGAGAAGGTCAACAATCTAACAACAACAACTGACGCCGTAGGGAATGTCAAGAGTCCATCAGCAACAACAACTGATGACGGAGAGAAGGTCAACAATCTAACAACAACAACTGACGCCGTAGGGAATGTCAAGAGTCCATCAGCAACAACAACTGACGCCGTAGGGAATGTCAAGAGTCCATCAGCAACAACAACTGATGACCTAGAGAAGGTCAACAATCTATTAACAACAACTGACCACGCAGAGAATGGCAACAGTCTATCACCAACAACTGACCACGCAGAGAATGGCAACAGTCTATCACCAAGAACTGACCACGCAGAGAAAGTCAACAGTCTATCATCAATAACTGACGACGTAGGAAATATCAACAGTCTATCAAAAACAACTGACGACGTATGGATTGACAACAGTCTATCAACAACAACAACAACTGACGACGTAGCCAATGTCGACAGTCTGCCATCAACAACTGAGGACGTAGGCAATGTCAACAGTCTATCAACAACAACTGACGACGTAGGAAATGTCAACAGTTTATCAACAACAACTGACGACATAAGCAATGTCAACAGTCCATCAACAGCAATTGACGACGTATGGATTGTCAACAGTCTATCAACAACAACTGACGACGTATGGATTGACAACAGTCTATCAACAACAACAACTGACGACGTAGCCAATGTCGACAGTCTACCATCAACAACTGACGACGTATGGAATGTCAACAGTCTATCATCAACAACTGACGACGTTGGGAAGGTCAACAGTCTATCACCAACAACTGACCACGCAGGGAATGTCAACAGTCTATCGACAACAACTGACGACGTAGGAAATGGCAACAGTGGATCAACAACAACTGACGACATAGGTAATGTTAACAGTCCAACAACAACAACTGGCGACGTAGCCAATGTCGACACTCTACCATCAACAACTGTTGACATTCCATACGTAGCCAATGTCGACACTCTACCATCAACAACTGGCGACGTAGGGAAGGTCAACAGTCTATCACCAACAACTTACCACGCAGGGAATGTCACCAGTCTATAATCAACAACGGACGACGTAGCCAATGTCGACACTCTACCATCAACAACTGGCGACGTAGGGAAGGTCAACAGTCTATCATCAACAACTGACCACGGAGGCAATGTCAACAGTCCAACAACAACAACTGATGACCTAGAGAAGGTCAACAATCTATCAACAACAACTGATGACGTAGAGAATGTCAACAGTCTACCATCAACAATTGACGACGTATGGATTGAGAACAGTCTATCAACAACAATTAACGACGTATGGATTGTCAACAACAACAACTGATGACCTAGAGAAGGTCAACAATCTATCAACAACAACTGATGACCTAGAGAAGGTCAACAATCTATCAACAACAACTGCCGACGTATGGATTGACAACAGTCTTTCAACAACAACAAATGACGACGTATGGATTGACAACAGTCTATCAACAACAACTGACGACGTATGGATTGTCAACAGTCTTTCAACAACAACTGACGACGTAGACAATGTCAACAGTCTATCAACAACAACTGACGACGTAGGATTATACATATGATCGTTGTATAGTACTACACATCATTAATTCCAACAATATATCAAACTTAACTATGCAGCAATGTTTTTTATTATTTCTTAAATAACAATATCCGACTTGCATTTTTATCAGTAATAACTTTACAAGATGGTTTGCGTTTGCCTCGGCCGCAATCTACCATTATTATGAAATATCATATTGCTTACATGTCCCATATTTTTTACTGCATGTCACCAAACGCTTTCAACCCTCTTACATTATCCTTGTCCACGTCACTGCCCGTAGCTACAGTTGTTAATGTTTATTATGATACATTTCATTTTCATATGTTTGCTTACACTTGTTTCTGTTTTCTATTCATTTCTGTTCGTTCATGTTTGAATTATATAGTATACATGTTACATATATGTGGGGGAAAACACGTAAGTGGATGAAGTTGAACAGAAAATTAAACAAGTTGCCTGAAAGAATATGTTAAATATGTTTTACAAGACGGAATCATAATAGTTGGGGTATCAGTAACAAGAATAACCACTTCACATGGACCTTTGTAGGAGGCACGCTAGTCCAGTGGTAGGACGCCGGGCTCGTGACCGAAGGGTTGCGGGTTCGAGTCACGGCTCGGCACTGTGTTGAATCGTTGAGCAAGATACTTTATTCGGCTTGTTCAAGTCTACTAAGCTGTAAATGAGAACGTGGTTGGGCAATGCTAGCTGTTAGCGCCGAAATGGCAGCACCGGCTGTATGATCCCCAGGGAGTTGAGAAAAATATTGGCTGGTTGCAAAGGTCCTAAAACCACGAATAATAATTTGGGAACCGCTTTGAGACGATCTACGAACTAGGTTGTGATAAAGCGGTATTATTATTATTATTACCAAATAAAAATTCACAAGAACGAATGATCTAAATCACCATAACAATGACAACTTCTCAGCAGCAGTTTTGGGTTACCTTTTAGCTTGGGTGACCTTTGAATATTTTCTGTTTCAATTAGAATATGTAATTAGAATGTTTAAAATCCTGCCGTTCTAAAGCAGTTTGTTTGTTGGATTTATATTATACAATGTGAATAAGCAATTCTTACTTTATTAAACTGGTTTAAGCTATACACACTTCATTCTTTTCTTGAAAGAGGGCGACGATTTCATTTACAGTAGTAAACTTTCGACCTTACAACGATGCCAATAGTTTTCCTACCGAGGGCCGTGGTATACTTCATAAAATCAGAACATAACGCGTTTCTCGGTAACCTCCTACATGTATATATATATATATTAGCGAGAAACTTCTCAGCGTTTTAATTTCCATTTAACAGGAACACAGGAAGGCGTTCTTATATTTTAAAGTGTGATGTATAAATATTTGACATTTTGACATTAAATGTTATTGCTGGTAAGTACAGCTTGGTTAAGTTTTACATGACGTCATTGTCTTATTTCTACTATATGTATCAATAGATTTAAGTCTACTAAGGGTATTTTGAAAGGTAAAGGTGTTAAGACAATACAGTCAGGATTAAAATCGATAGGCCTTAAATAAACATTCCTTTTAAAATCGGCGCAATTTCTTAACACGATATCTCAAACATATAACAATATATTTGTAATAAAGTATGTTTTGTAGTAGGTAGGTCAAATGGCTCCCGTCTGCCTGTCCACACATAACATAAGATTTTACAAATAAAGTAATAATAATAATAATAATTCAAGATTCTTATATACCGCTTTATCACAACCTAGTTCGTAGGTCGTCTCAAACCGGTTCACAAATTATTATCTGTGGTTACAACTCCCTGGGGAGCATACAGCCGGAGCTGCCATTTCGGCTCTCACAGCTAGCATGATATAATTCCTGCCCAAACACGTACTCATTTACAGCTTAGTAGACTGGAACAAGCGGAGTAAAGTATCTTGCTCAAAGATACAACACAGTGCCGGGCCGTGACTCGAACCCGCAACCCTTCGGTCACGAGCCCGGCGTCCTACCACTAGACTACCGTGCCTCCTAAAACGGCTTAGATACTTGCCTATTTCCAAGGATAGTGTCGCCAACAGCATGAACATTAGTGTTGTGTACACCATGGTATACAGGTATCCAGAAACCAACTGTTCATCAACTATTTGTGGTTTTGAGGTAGGTATGTAAACACAATATTAACGCAATAGTGTTTTGTACACCATGGTATACAGGTATCCAGAAACCAACTGTTCATCAACTATTTGTGGTTTTGAGGTAGGTATGTAAACACAATATCAACGCAATGTTGTTGTACCCTGAACAATACGCGACACTATTAGGTCTGCGTTAGCATATTACGTAAGCCCAGACGGGGTATTCCCCGAACACCAACTCTGCTTAAAATCACATGTTTACATAGGTGGCCAGTTGTGATGATAGTGAGTTATAGTATATCGCAGAAATGGTGTACAGGTAAATTGCAGAGGTAAATCAACTTCTGATAAGTAATCAGATAATCAATAACTGCTTATATTTGCAAAATAATAATAATATTTAGAACAGTTTTCAGAATCAGTCATATATTTATTATGATATATTAGTTAAACTTTTATTTCAGATTTGTGTGAATTTTCTTATAATTATTGTCAAATATTAGTTAAACTTGTACTTATTTTCATATTTCTATGAATTGTGTTTAACTTGTGTGACTTCAGTTTGATATTAGTATCTGTTATGTTTTAATACAAATACTTCCTCGGCTATCATACAGAATGTTTTTTAACCCAACTTTGTAGACATAAAAAGGGTCTGTAGACAAGGGGATCCTGTATCATCTTACTTATTTCTTTTGGTAGTTGAAATATTAGCTAGCATGGTAAAACACAATAAAAACTTTAGGGCATAAACATAAATAACAAAGAACACGGGCTCTGACAGTTCGCTGATGACACATCCGTTATTTTAAATGGCACACAAATCTTTATATGATATAAATATGCTAAAATATCAGGGTTAAAAGTAAATACTGAAAAAAATAAAATGGGGAACAACCAAATTTACCTTACTTGGGGATTGATTTCTCTGTCAATTTAGAAGGTTACTGTAAATTTCAACAAAATTATTAGTATTATAGATGGCAAGTTACATCAAAGGTCAAGAAGAATTTTAACACCTATAAGGAGAATAACTGTTCCTAAATCTCTTATTATTGCAAAAATTAATTACCTGTTTATATATCTCCCTACTCCAATTAAAGACATAATTCAATCATTGAACTTTTTTTTTTTGCATTTTTGTCTGGCAATCACCAATTGATAGAATAAAACGCTCAACAATTGTTCAAGACTATAGTGAGGGTGGACTCAAAATGATTGATTTAGAAAACTTTATATATGGACTTAAAACTAGCATTCAATGGGTCACTTTCAGGCTTCTTTCAAGAATACTTCCACTTAATCATTATTTGAAAATAAATGGAATCAAACAATGTGATTTATGTAATTTATGCCAAGAAAGCAAACAAACTATAGAACATCTTTTTTAACAGTGTCAAATAACAAATAACTTCTGGCAAGACATACGTAGATGGATATACTCAAAAACTGACCAAACAGTCGAAATAAAGGAAGATATTATACTTTTTGGCAAAACTTCTGGATTCCAAAAATCCATTCCAACTAAGATCATGATTCATGCAAAATTCTTCATCTACTTTAGCTCCAGATAGGTTTACTGTTTATATTTATGCTTAATAATGGCTATCTCTTAGTGCTGTATTAAATGTGTATTACTGTTATGTGTAGGAATAGAAACTGTATTTTATTATTGACATTAGTATCAATGTGGCTTAAATTAAGGAATTTTGTTTTTCATATAATGTAATGTTATTTTTCTTTTTCATATAATGTAAAAATTAATATTTAATGATTATTTTCCATTACTTAGTTCTGTGTTAAATGTGTATTACAGTTATATGTAGGAAATAAAAACTTTTTATCCATTTTATTATTGACTTTAGTATCATATCTACAAAATGAGTTGACATTCTTAGTTGAAACATGCTATAACTAAACTTCAAAGGATTTCCTATATAAACACCTTCCTTTCAATTCTCCAGAGTTGGTGTTCGGGAAATGAGCCCCCCAGACATTTAAAATACAGACGTCCGTATTAGATCCAGAAAGAAGTCAGATCAAAAGTTTTACAATTAAAGCATGCATGTGGACTGTGGAGAGGAGATTGTTGCAAAAAATTTCAAATTTGTAAATTTAATTGACAAAATATTAAATAAAAACATGAGGTATTTGAGTAGTATTTGAGTAAAAACATAATGTGTCCCCATTCGTTCTTTCTTACATGTTTCCACGGTGCAGTGACAACTTAAAATGTTATGCAGTCAATAAATCTGATCATTCAAGCAGAAGAAATGCCGGAAAACTATTGAACTGATCTAGATCACTGGAGAAGTGTTTTGTAAACTGCTTGTACAAAGGCAGCTGTTGACCGAAGAACGACGTAAATTTCGAA